GAAACCAAATCGGAAGATTTATGTTCGCTTATTCAAAAGTTCAGTTCTTTATATGCTCTTTTTTTTAATATAGGAAAAGAAAAATGCCACATCACCCCGAAGTTTACAGAGTAAACAAATGGTGTCTTCTCCCATTTCTGGTGTTAAAACGAAGGAATGCTTGAATACAAATATTACCTCACAAGTGAAGTCTCCAAATCCTCATTCATCTTCTGAGACCTCTTTATTTAATCTGCCACAAAAGCTTAGCTTACTGGGAAAGGTTAAAGCAATTTCTTTCATTTAACTTTTTCTTTTTAATTCTTTTTTTTTTCTTATTTTGTGAAAAATGATGCATCAGGAAGCAATCCAACAACGAGAAAAAGCACAGAAAATTGCCCTTCAAGCGCTTAGAAATGCCTCAGCCACTGAAACTATTGTTTGGTCTCTCAAGTATGACTTTTATGATTTTATACTAAAAAATTATTTATCAGTTTATGATTTTGTATATTTCTTATAGGAGCTTATCTACTTTAAGCAAGTTGGCTAACCCTGAGGATCCAACAGATTGTTTTGATCAATTTCTTGAATTCCATAACCAAATAGTTCAAGCCATAGCCGATATGGTGTCAATTAAATCAGCAACAGAAGTCAACAATATCATAAACAACTCCAATCAGAAGTCAACAATCTTGGGAAAACACACGAGATCATCAAATGTTAACCAAAAGGGTAAAATGGGAACATGTGAAAAAAATGGAAACAAGCATTCGTGTCTGAATGATACGATTAAACTAGGAAAGCAGATTGAGAGAGAGGCTGGAAATTGGTTCATGGAGTTTTTGGAGAAAGCTTTGGAAAAGGGTATAGGGGAATCAAAGTTTATAAAAGTTCATAAATCACTTGTAATGAAGGTTGTGAAATGGTTGGAAGTTGAACAATGTGATTCTAGCAAGAGGTTAGTGAATCCTAAAGCAATTGAAATTGCTAGGAAGTTGAGGATCAAGGTGAAGAGCCCTTGAATATTGATGTAAATTGATTTTTGTATCAAATGTTGTTTGATACAATAAGAAACATGGGTGTAGTTTGCATAAAGTGATGGGTCTAAATACAAAAAATGGGTTGAACTAAATGCTTACAACTTCCTAAATTGTTTTGTAAAAATATTGTTTTTTTAATAATGTATTTTTGTAATCAGCATAAAGCAAAATTGTTCATATGCCCAAGCAACTTCACCTACTATCGGATGGTTAGGTGTATTCAACAACATGCATGATAGAATTGCCAAATCAAGCTAGCTGGTTTGACAAAGCACATTACAAATAATTTGGTCAAATCATTAGAATAAATTGGTGAAATTGTCAAAACCAAACAATTTTCGAATAATTCAGCTAAAATTGTCAAATCAAGGTGTACTAACAAACATTTATTGTATAATTTGAGAAAATCAAACTTTAAAAGATTGAGCTTTGCTATACAAAAAGGTTTAGCGGAGCAGTTTGTTGTCCGTTTGTCATCTCACTTGTTGTACGATGAAAATCTACTATAATAAATAAAGGTTGTTTTGCCACATGTCCACTTCTCATTCATTTGAACATATGTCATTTTCTAAAATTTTTAAATTTTTTATTTTCCACTTGTCATTTTATTGTATTTTTCATTTTATTAAATTAAAATTCCACATTTAATGTGTAAGGTAATATATATAAAGTATTTATTAGAAAAAGTTTATATATGTAATGTAATCAATACATTAAAGTCTCATTAATTTTAATAATTCAAATTTTTCTTATTTTTTTTATAAATTCAAACTTTTCAAATTGTTAAAATTTTATATTTATTCTATTTAATTAAACCCATGTAATACATGGGTCTCACACCTAGTTAAATTATGTATTCAAAATATAAGGGTGTATTTAAAAAAAAAAAAAAAAAAAAAAAAAAAAAAAAAAAAAAAAACCCTAAACTAAACTAAACTTGTAGAGGCATAAACTTGAACCATGTTAATGCTAGAAAAATCTATTTAAAGACTTTTATTTTAAAAAAAGAGAGCATAAAAATATGCGTTTGCCGGGAGTCGAACCCGGGTCTATTGCTTTGCCGGGAGTCGAACCCGGGTCTATTGCTTGGAAGGCAATTATCCTAACCGTTGGACTACAAACGCAATTGTGGAAATGAATGATCTTTCAAAAATATTTCCTGGCTAGATAGAAATCTTTCAAAACCTACGACTACGATGAAGGGTGGAATTTTCCAACAGTTCTCATGGAATCGAGCTGCTGTATCTGGATGAGGCGAGTAAAGATGGCGACCACCACCACTTCCATCGTTTTCCGCCCCACAGCCTCGTCTTCTATTTCACCGTTATTCACTCCGCTACATTCTTCCAAATCGACGTTACCACTTCTTTCTCATATATTTCACCCACGCCGTTCAATTTCAGTAACTGCAACTCTTCCTCTTCAGTCTTCTCCGTCTCCGTTTTCCCAAACCCTTCATCATCAATGTTCTTCTTCTTCTGGTAATTTTGTATAATATTGTCTGTAACTATTTACACATTATTCGCTTCTTTTGTATTGATTTTGGTTGTTATTTGAACTGAAGATGGTGGAATTAATCCTAAGGATTCCCGAAAGATCATTCTGAAAGGAATGAGATACACAGAATTCGAAGTATGTATACATCTATCTTTTCCTTAACTGTTTTTTCTTCAAAAAGCTGGTAATCTAGGGCTTTTAGAGTTCATATTCCGCGAGTTAGGGACTTCTTGGATGTGCTTGAAAGTGATGATTTCTAAATACATGAAAATTCAAACAGAATTGGGTGACTTCTCAAGGATATAGACCTGCTCAGGCATTGATGCTATGGAAGCTGCTTTACGGGAACAATTCAAAGAGTATTTGGGCACATTCATTTGAGGAATTAGAAGGTTCATCTTCAAATCTCAACTTCATCACTAAAGGTGTTCTTCCTTTAGTAACATCACTTATCTTATTATCAACTTTTTTCTAGGTTTAAACAAAGACTTAACAAAGACGATAAGTAAACATGCTAAATTGAAAGCATTACAAGTGAAAGATATCATCACAGCCTCCGATGGCACTAGGAAGGTACACATAATCTTAATTGACTCTGTCTCTAATCATATATTACTATATTAGGGTATTCTCATTGATTATAAAATCTCAGGAGGTTTCAGATTTTGTTTACATTGGATGATGGACTGATAATAGAGACAGTGATAATACCTAATGGTGATAAGGGAAGGAATACAGTATGTGTTTCAAGTCAAGTGGGATGTGCAATGAATTGCCAATTCTGTTTCACTGGCAGGTAATTTCTTCTTCTTCTTCTTCTTCTTCTTCTTCATATTATTATTATAATCATTGTTATTGTATACGTATATATTAAGAAACATGATGCATCTCTTGTGCTTTTCAGGATGGGTTTAAGGAGAAATCTAACTGCAGAGGAAATAGTAGAACAAGCTGTATTTGCACGTAGACTGTTTACTAGCACAGTGGGTCCCATCTCAAATGTTGTTTTCATGGTATGTATGCTTTATTGGTTTGTTTGTTATTATTTATCGCATCCTACATTCATTTCTTCCTATTTGTAACAATGTCATTCAAATACAAATAAATTTTTACTGCTAGAATTGGGTAAAATGTTCAAGATTCAATTGCAAGAAATATTTATTACTAGAAAATTTACGGATTATAGCAATGAATGGGTAAGATGTTGATTTGAAAGTTTGAATTAATTTACATCTCCTTTTGTAGGGAATGGGAGAACCACTTCAAAACATTGAAAATGTGATGAAAGCTTCAGATATAATGGTTGATGAACAAGGGCTTCATTTTAGCCCAAACAAGGTCACCATTTCAACAAGTGGACTTGTGCCTCAAATCAAACGATTTCTTCGTCACTCTAAATGTGCATTAGCTGTTAGTCTGAATGCTACAACTGATGAAGTAATTACTACTATATTTTTAATCAAAAACCTCTTCACTTTTTTATTTCCATATTAATTAATTAACTAATTATGTGATTAGGTCAGGAATTGGATCATGCCCATTAATCGGAAGTACAATTTGAGCTTACTTCTTGACACCCTTCGTGAAGAGCTCCAATTCAAACATAAATACAAAGTCTTATTTGAATACGTGATGCTTGCTGGAGTCAATGATAGGTTAAATGTTTTGCTTATTTATTATATTTAATATATGTTTAAGTCAAAACTTATTAATGAACGTTTGAGTGTTTGTTGTATTTAATTTTGTAGCATTGATGATGCAAAGCGGATAATTGATCTTGTGAAGGGGATTCCATGCAAGATTAATCTGATTACATTCAACCCGCACAGTGGGTCCCACTTCCAGCCCACAGCAGATGAAAAGATGGTTGAGTTTAGAAACACGTTGGCTGAGGGAGGCTTGACTGTGTTCATGAGACCGAGTAGAGGAGATGATCAGATGGCTGCATGTGGTCAGTTGGGGAATCCGGGTGACTTTCAAGCTCCTTTACTTAAAGTGCCTCCAAAGTTTCAACACTCATTAGACCCATCCCTATAACTTGTACATGATGCATTAAGTGTGGTACATTCGTTTTAATCATGAATTTGTTATTGATTTGTTCAGATTCTTTACTGTTTCTTTTTTACTTAAAATGGACAGAATGAGTTAAACCAAAAAACCTGGCTTAATGAATGAATTAAGACACCAGACTGGTTTATTCACATATACCTACTTATGTTGTTGCTATTCCAGGCAATGGGGATACTTTCCACTCATTTACTTATAAATTGGTTGTGTTAAATGTGTATAAATTTTGTATTGGACCAATACAATTAATTTGTTCATATTATTTCGAGATGCTTCTATAAACTAAGTTTGAGAATAATGTTATGTAAGTTATAAGAACAACGTGTGTCGTATCATAATTTTAAAATTTCAAGTTATAGATGGTTTGTATTGGTAAAATGAAGACTACATATCTATTATTAATATATTGAAGGGCAAAGTGAAGATGTTACCCAAGTGAAAAGCAATAAAAATGACACTGAGAATTGACATGGTTATGTTGGTGTAGCACACGGGCAGAAACCAAAGAATTATAACTCAATTGTTTTCAAAGTGATACATTGAAATCTCTAGTTCCGAATACTTATAATTACTGTAAACGAATACTTATAATTACTGTAAACCCAAAAAGAACTAAACGGGTCCTCCGGCCCCTGCTACTTTGGATCTAACAATAGTAAATCTCTAGTTACGAGTCTTATGGATATTTTGACAACTCACAATGAATATGTTAGGACTTTTAAATGCGCAAAAGATATTGTTGCTGAAAGGAAGTTACTTGAGTATGTAGTTTGTCTTTTTAATGATGTTCATGACCGTCTGTATGATCATCCGACCCTTGGTAGTCTGGGTTGTATTGTCGTTGGCGAAGATGCAGTTGGTAGTACGTATAACATAGTTGTGCGTTCCAAAAGTGGACGTCCATGCAGGGTTAGTAAACTTCATCCTAGCTACATACCCTTGTAGTATTCTATTTTATTTCCTTATGGTGATGATGGTTGGTCTCCACGTTTAAAGCTTTTAAATGGGATTGGTTCGAAGGCTAGGAATCTTACTGTTAACATGTATTACAATTACCACATACACACAAGAAATGGTGTATACTCTTTTCTATTGAATTCTTGTAGGTTGTTCCAACAATATTTAGTTGATGTGTATGTCTGTATTGAACTTTCGCGGCTTGATTTTTATGAACATAATCAAAATCAACTAAGATCAGCGTACGTTAGTGGTATTTATGATAAAAATGGCATTACATTATAATAAAACACTTTACAGTGTAATGTTTGAAGATATTCATAATAAAGAAATTGAAATTTCTCAACATAAAGAAATACTTTTCAATAATAAAAAAGATTTAGTGCATATAAATTTCAGAATTCTACAAGCACAAAATAAACATACTCACGAATATATACCAAACTTGGTTAGTATACGTAAGTATCTCCTACATAAGCAAAAAGTTCATCAAGAACATCTTGATAGAAATAAAAAATTAGTTTCAGAACTCAGAAAATTTATTTTAACTTATTAAAATTTTCTTAAAATGAATAAAGAAATTTTCAACAACACTGAAGAAAATAATTCAGAAGAAAAACAAATCTTAACTTATGTTGAAGATGAAGATGGCTTTCATGCAAATCTTTTAATAAAACAAGACCTTCTCTCTCGAGTTAAGAAAATAGATTTAAAAATAAAGAAAGAAAACATTTTCAAAAATGTTCCTTCTAAACTTAGTATTTTAAATCCTCTTAAAAGGAAAAATGAAATCTTCTACTTTGTTAGTACTAAAGAAATGTCAGTAGACATAAAAGATACAATAGGAGCTGTCTTTCTACCCCTTTTAACTAAGGAACAAATAAACAATAACTTAAAAAGTATTCCAGTTGAGATTAGATCAAAAATTAGAATGGTCCATATCGGAGCTGTAAAAATTTTGCTAAAATCCCAATTCCAAGCAGGAATAAATTCTCCCATAAAAATGGCCTTAATTGACAACAGAATTACTGACAGACAGGACTGCATCTTAGGTGCTGCAAAGGGAAACCTTGCTTACCAAAAGTTTATGTTTTCAGTCTATCCAAAGTTTGCTCTGGATTTAAAATCTGCAAATATAGATAAAACCTTATCTTTTATACATCACTTTGAAAGAAGTGACCTTATGAGTCCAGGTGATAAACCATTCACCATAACATATCTTATAGGATATGCCCTGACCAACAGTCACCATAGCATAGACTATAAGAAAGACGAGTACATCGAACTTGATGATGTCTTTTCAGAAATAGGCCATGTCAAAGATAAACAATTCTGCGACATAAATCCTCAAGAAAACTCTTGGGTTTTAAATATAGCTAGAAATAAAAAAGCTCTAGGAGAAACTCTTAGACCAAGAATTTCTATGGATTCACTCCACATAGGAGAAAGCTCGGAAAGAAAAGATAATAATTTAATAAGAAACATGTCTTTAAAAATTGATAGTCTACGCCAGAATATCAAACAAATCACTGACATTATAAATGAATAATAAAATTGATTTTCCTCATTTCTATAAAAAAGGTAAAACAGTCAAAATTAAAACTCTTGACGATAATACTGAAAAGAAAGAATACGTTTTCTCTACTTCAGGAAAAGCCGGTATTCAAACAATTGTAAATCATTGCAATAATCTCAACCAGATCATTGCAAGATGCCTCTTAAAAACTTCAAAAAATAAAATACCTTTTAACCAATTTAAAAACGATTTAGCCTTTATGGTTAAAAACAATCTTGATAAAAAAGATTTAGAAAAATTCTTGGAAGTTATTGAAAGACAAAATAAATTAACTATCAAGTTAACCCAGTCTATTGACAAACATTCTATTCTTTTAGAAAACTCTTTAAAAAACAACCAATTTGTTGAAGAAGTCGCCAAAAAGGCAAATATTGAGGGCACTCTTAAGGAAATCAACCTTAAGATCACTAATATACATGATCAGTTAAAACAACTAATAGGATGACCTCGATACCCGAGCTGAATAGATCAACCACCTCGATACCCGAGCTCAATAGATCAATCAACCTCCTTAATGAAAAAATAGATGGTCTGATTATAAACTTGGACTTAATAGTCAATAAATACGTAACCATTGCCCAGTTGGAAGTAGCATCTGCAAAAATTATTGCAGACATTATTAAGGAGTTATCTGAAAAGATTGACTCTTGCCCTTGTAATAAAGACATTCTTGAGCACATCAAAAATATCTCCATCATAGAACAAAAATCCAAGCCAGGAAAATATTCAGGTCTTAAGAAATACTCACCTCCCAATCCTAGTGTTGGAAACCCTGACTTAGGAAGCTCAAAAAATTCCCAGAAAATTGACATTTTCAGGAAAGAGTAAAAATGAAAGAAACAATCTCTGAGAAACTCGAGAAATATTTCTTTAACCTTCAATTTGAAGATTATGATAAAGCTGACCAAAAACTTATTCAACTTTTATCATTAGAAACTGAAGAATGTGAAAAATTGTATCAAAAAGAACCCAAACTTTTTGATCAATATTTTAGAATGACTAAAATAAATGAACCTGACACTGAATCAGAAGAAGAAGATAACTTTAAAACAAATACAAAGACTGTTAAGTTCGAATATTCGGATATGGAAGATGATGAAGCAGAATCTTCTTATACAGCTACAAGAAGAGGCAATAAAAAGAAATATGAGTTCAAAATGCCTGTCCACAATGGTATTCCAAATAGTGGTCAAGGATCCAATACGATCAATGTACTCAATATTGATTGTATCCAAGATCTAAAACTCAGAGAAAGAGTTGTAGAAAAATGGGTTACTGAGATTTCACTAATCTTACAGACAAACCCAGATGAATTTGAAAAAGCAAAAAATGTTCTACTACTTTTAGAACACAAAACTGATGGAATTGTACAAAAATTCCTAAGAAAAATAATTGGAATGAAGAAATGCATGGTTCAGATCTTTTTGATAATATCATAAATGTCATATACACTACTTTCTTAGGTCTTGATTATATTTCTAATAAAGACTACACCATTAATAAGAAAGTTGACATAGCAAGAGTTTCAATGACAAAACTCCAATTACATGATATTAGTCTTCTCGACAAATACACTTGTATGTATGAATCATATCTATATGATATTCCACAAAGAAGTGAATATGCACAATGGATATCTGCTTACCTCATGAAGATTCCAATTATTGGAGAAACCTGTACAGACAGATGGAAAAAAGAAGTTACTGGAGAAATCCAGCAAACCAGTCTTTCTTATGCAACAAAAATTGCAAAAGAAGAAATTGATAGAATCTGTCAAGACAGATATAAACAACAAAAACTTAAAACAATAAGCAAAGATTGTTGTAGCATTCTCTCTGATTTCAAAAACTTTGATATTGGAAAGAAAAATTATAATAAGAAAAAGTATAAAAACAAAAAGAAATTCAAATCTTTTTGGAAAAAGAAAAGAAGAAAATTTTCTCCAGGAAAATACTTCAAAAAACCTTCAAAAGAAACACCTAAGAAGACTACTTCCTGTCCGCAAGGAAAGAAAAAATGTAGGTGTTGGATCTGCAATGAAGAAGGACACTACGCCAATGAATGTCCAAATAGAAAGAAATACCCTGACAAAGTCAAGGTTTTACAAACCGCTAACAATGGGGGCTATGAAGCTCTTGAAGAAGAGTATGATGGTACACAACATGTTTTTATATATCATGTTGAGACAGAATCTTCATCAGACACTGATGAATACGAATCAACAACGGATGACTCAGACTAGTCCCATACAGACCCCACTTTTCAGGGAGGAGGAGATTAACCATTTTTGCGCAAACCTCCAGAAGATTGATGATTCCATTATCATGAATCTTACTAATCCAAACTCTATCTATGTTTCTGCCTTCCTTAACTTTAAAGGATATAAAAAATTTAGAGTACATTGTTTTGTAGACACAGGTGCATCTTTATGTCTTGCAAGCAAATTCATCATTCCGGATGAACTCTGGGAAAACGCTCCCAAAGAAATTAGTGCCACTATTGCAAATGGTGAAACCATAAAAATTAATAAAGTTTGTAGAAACATTAATCTCGAACTTTCAGGAGAACATTTCAACGTTCCCACTATTTACCAACAAAATTCAGGAATTGATATCATAATTGGGAACAACTTCTGTCAAGTTTATGGACCATTCATACAATGGATAGATAGAATCGCCTTTCATCTTAATAATGATATGGTAATTATAAAAAAGGTTACAGAGGCCTATAGCAAAGGAAAACCAGGTTTTCTTGAAACTCAAGAAAAAGGTTCTAAAGAAAAACAAATTCCAGG